AGTCTTTATTCCATTAATGTTCCTCGAACGTTGCATATTTTCTATAGTTCTTATATATTTCCTCCTCTCCAAATATTTCAGAAAAAAGAATCGAGAACGAAGTTCTCTGTATCTCCATTATTTTTATTTGTTTTAAACGAATGAAAATTTTTTCCGAAATTCTCGAAATTGTAATTTATTCAAAAAAATTCCAATTTTAATATAGGTGTGTCGTTGTTTTTTAAATATTTTTAATCACAAAAAATTCTATTTATAATCGTACATTATGAATAGAAAAAAAAATCTGTTCTATTGATTGATGTGCGATAAAATCTCTTGCAAAGCGATACTCGATAAAGAAGAATCATTTTTTCACGATATAATCGAGTTTTGTATCGCGTTGAACCGATATTAATCCAATAATTTATATATACATGTATTATGTATATATTCGACATCGATATTCAAAGCGAGGACACGTTACTTCCGGTCGTATCCATCTTGATGAACAATCGCAAATCTCCCACCCACGTTTCCGGTACACACAACTGGCGCAAACGCCGGTACACGTTTTCCGGGAAATCTTACATAACTGTGACATGACAGCGTATTTTTCAATTAGCAGTTATACAGGAGTTCATTTCGATTTAATTCCCCGTCGTCCCGTAAGGATTAAAAAAAATTAGTTAGAGCGGAGAGCGAATGAAATAGGAGGAGAGGAAAATGTCGAACGGATGATTACTGCTAAGATATAAGGAGGAGGAGAATTGCTTCCAACGGTCGACAGAGTTTTTATTATTCGAGAAACAGCGGAAAATCTTGTCGAGATAATAATACGATGTAATCTTCTTAGTTTAATTATTTAGAATCCATTGGGAAGTTGAAAGAAATACAAGTTTTCTCGCTTTGTTGATTATTACGTTAAAATATATTTCTTATATAATAATTTGTTTATATTTATTTTTTCGGTATTGTTTTCCGATTTCCTGTATTAACACGCGATAGAATAATTAATGCGATTTGAATTAAATAGCGAGAGGATCGTAATATTTTTGTAGAATACGATGATGTAATAGTATTGAAATAGATAAATGTTAAAATTAATCTTCCAAAAAGTTCTTTAACTTCTTTATGGATCGTGATCTATAGTTTAGAATAGATCCATATTCAAATATATTATAAACTACTTTTACAAAATAATCATATCACACGTATACGTTTCTATTTCATTAATTTCATTAATACTGTTAATTTTCATTTATAAAATCACGCGATCGTTCGTGCCTAGAAACCTTATTTCATTTCTATAAAAAAAAAAAAAAAAAAAGAAAAAAAAACGTTCTTATAATAGCAATTCCAGTATACGAGGATAATCATAATCCGGTTAATCGAGACCCCAATCATAAATAAAATACCTACACACCTGTACTATTATTACTATTATTATTATTATTATTATTATAATATTGCAAGAAATATTCCCGTGTTCACGAAATTTGCATATTATCGTTGAATTTGCCAAGCTTTAATGTGACTTACAGTTTAAACCTTGCCACCGACATCTGGAATAGTTGCGCGAGATAACACATAGATGTACTTAACAAGCGTTTATCGACCCCCTCCCTTCCCCATATCTAGTTAATTACAACGGGGGTGAAGTTTCTGCAAACTCGGCGAAAGAGAAAGAGATTAAAAAGAAGAAAAAGAAGAAGAAGAAGAAGAAATAGATATAAATAAAACGACGGTACGAGAAATGCACGTGGCTAAGATTGTTGCCGAATAATAAAAGAGTCGGTGCACCGCATCGGTGAGATTGGGAGCGTGGGTTGCCCGGTGCAACAAGTCGGATTAACAGCTGTTTCTGGTGGCGTGTACGGTTCCACGGTTCATGGTGGCTCGATTTGGCCGCGGTCCAAGTTTCGTTTTACGACTCGTTTTACCGAACTTGGCCATTGTGCCCGTGTTGGATGCCGCAACGCCAGATAAGAAACACCACGCGAGAATAACTCGATCTGTTTAGATCGGTGTTTAAACACGCGTTCTACAAACACGCGTCGCTCGCTGAAACTTAGTTAGACAATTCGAGGCGGTGTTACGCGGCGAGGTGGAAGCAAAGTATTGTCAAGATGTTTCATGAGGAACATTGAAACGTCCGTCAGAGATTTACGTTTAAGTGTTTTGAAAATTGTTTCAAAAAAAAAAAGAAAGATTTGCCGTTAGAAGTTGGATTAGGAAATTATTGATGTTAATGTAACGTTTCGTGTTACGAAACATCGGTCGTGAAAATGGAAAATGTATGCGATGTATTCATTACACGCGTAATGATTGGTTGACGACTGCAATGGAACATTACGATTGCAATGAAAGGATGTTGTAAAATCGGGTTGCAATCGTAAATGTTTTCCCTGATGTGATCGAAAATTTCTGTTCCATTCTAACAGACGCGAGCGAAAGAGTAAAAAAAAAAAAAAAAAGGAAAGAAATAGAAGAAAATAAAAGAAAGATATTTAATAAACTGCTTATTAAGATAAGCAGTCTACTAATTTAATTTACTACGAAGCAATTGAAAAGTAAAAAGATCAATGTAAGTTGTAATTTATCCCTTAAGTCATATTATATATTAACATATTCGAGTAGTATCTAAACCGGTAGAATCTAAATATATTTAAATGTGTATATTCAAAATCACCCCCTTTGTATAATTTATGAATTTTCTGAAATGCACGAAAATTTCTCTTAATGTACAACATTCTTTGCATCCTGGAGTAAAAAGTATACAAAAGTGAACGTTTGCGAAAATATTATGCGAAAATATACATATATAAATATATGTGACAAATCGTGAATAATAAATGAAACAAAAATATATAGAAACGGTACATACACTTACCTCAGGGACGTAGGCAGAGCTTCGTGAGGTGAAAAATTTCGTAACGAGGTTTGAGACATGCACAGCAGTTGCTGTTAAGGACCCGTTCAGGTCCTCGTTGCGTTACCTCTTCTTTCTTTTCCCTCGAGTCCCGTATCCTTGATCCTTCTTCCCTCACTTCAAGTGGAAGTCACTCTCTTAAACACCCACGAGACGAAGCGGCATCGACTTTGCAAGCGGCGATCCTTTGTCTTCGCCCTCCAGTTTAACCGGAAGAGGCGAAATCACTCCTGTTCCGAACGATGCTGTCGATACCTCTCGGATTGCGGCACCCGTGACGATCTCTTTGTTATTGTTCCCGCGAAGCACACGTCTTTCTCTCATTGATCTTGCGACATGAACCACGCGATTATCCGCACGAGGCTGTGACCGAGACAAATCACCGACCAGCAGAGAAGCGACGCCGGTGCGAAGCGCTGACTGAACCACTGGCAAACCACCGAGGGGTGGTCCGTATCGTGCGGAGGTCCCTCTACTCTCTCTGCCGCTTTCCTTCTCTCTGCCTCACCCCTCCCTGCTCGCCAACCTCCCTCCCACCCATCTCGCCCCTTCCACTCTATTTCCCTTAGTATTTCTGTTTTACTCTGTTCATTCCACCATCCGTTTTCTATTCTTCTTTCTACTTTCTTTCCTCCAGTCCGCGATACTCGATACGTACTCCCTTTATTTCTCCTTGCTTTAAGTTAGTCCTTTGGAAAGTAAATCCCTCGCCAGATATTTCTTCCCCCCTCCTCTCTCTCTCTCTCTCTCTCTCTCTCTCTCTCTCTCTTTCTCTCCCTCTCTTTCACGCTTTATCCATCCTCTTTCCTGTTGCTCTTACTCGTGTCTCTATCTTTTCTGCCATCAACTTAGCCTTCTTCGTTGCTCCGAACTGTATCATCTTCCTTCATCCTCTATTCTTCTCTCTTTTCTATTACCCGGTAACTTTCATCCATGTTACGCCGTCATGGGTATATGCACGGAAGGAGACACAGGTCGTAATGATCCCACGATCTTGCGCGCTACCATCAGGTGCAACACCAATTCTCCTGCTACATCAGGGCAGGTTTAGGTTAAACTGTTGCATACTTGATGCGAATAAATGTTTTGTATCTTTTTTGTTTTCTATTGTTGGCTCTTTTTTTTAAATTATAACTATTTGTGTATATATATANCTATTTTATACTATATTATAGTATTATTTTTTTCTTTTTTAATTTTTATCGTTAATATAAATGCCTATTTGTTATGCATTTTTTTTTAAATTTATTTTCATATCGTAATAAGCGATTTATAATCAAATATCAATAAAAATAATTTTTTCAATCATCGTTTCATTTAATCAATTATTATTTATTATATATATTACGAAACAATGTTACGAATATTTTACATTTAAATTGAAAATTTTTTTTAGCATGAATAATATTTGTTATTCGAGTCTATTAATTTAAGTTTTTATTTTATATTATTTAAATTCATTTATTAATTATTCAAGATACTTTAGTAAAAAGTTCTTGATATTTGCGTTATAGTTATCAGGATTAAATGTGATTGATAAAATACAATTTATATTTGATTGATAAATCGATAAATTGTTTTTTATTTTAATAGAATATATTTACTTATAAATTTCTAAATGTAACTTTTAATAAATTTGATACGCATTTCATTTGTGGATACAAAAATTCAAATGTATTTTTCATTTATTTATTACATTCTTTTTTTTGCCTAAATGTGTTGTCTACATTTTGAGTTGTCTCTTTTAAGCTCTTTTAAGATATTTATTAAATAATATTTGAATATATTCAATCATATATTATTCAATATAAACATATATATATATNTCATACAATCAATATTATTAAAAAAACTAAGATTTAATTTTCAATGCAATAGAATTTTTGTTCCAATATTGTTTTATATAATTTATATATTATATATAATTTAAATTTATTCATCTATATATATATATATGAATATATATGAAAAACATATATATATATGTATATATATATATATGAGTATATGAAATTATTTATATATTATTATTTAATTACACTTACTACATTTTTAATTTTTGGTTTCTTCATAAAATAATTTAAAACTATTGTATATGATGATTTTACTTAATAACAGATATTTATTTACTATATTAATCAAGTAACATACAACTAATGTGGCATAAGTATCGTATCCGTTTCATATAATTTCCCTAGTTTCAATGACTCATTTTTTCTAATATGTGAAGCTGCTGGATCATCGGGTCTCATAACTGAAATTTAATAAATATAAAATTTTATATTATAATGATTTAAAATAAATTAATATAATTTAGAGTTAAATTTTTATCAACATTACACTATATATGAACACTTATATAAGAATGTAACTAATTGAAAATAAACATTAAATACTTACCAATAATATACTCATAATATTTTGGAGTACGATTTTCATGGAGTTTTTTATAAAATACAATTCCACTTAAAGTCGAAATTACTACTGCACCAATAGGTATAAATAATCCTAATGAAGGGTGATATTCTGCAAACTTTTTCCATAGTAATATTGTCCTATTCCCTATAATATTAATTATACATTATTATATATATATATTAAATATTTATTATTAAAACATACAGAAAGGTTTATGATATATCGGTTTTAACTCATCCAGAAATATCACTTTCCTCAGAATTTTCACCATTTTTTATAATTTATATAACCTCTCGCGCACAGTCAAAGTAAGACAACTAGTATGAATCTACGTGACATTCATAACGCGGTTAATTTAAAATTACAAAATTATAAAGTTATAAACTAACAAACTAATAAATTAATGATACTTATTCATTAAAACCATCAAAATTATATTTATTTAAACTAAACTATTTTTACTTTTATTACTCAAAATAATAATTATTAATTTATATATACGTCGAAAAAAATATTATTTTATATTTTGATTAATTATATTAATTATAATCTAGTTTTTAATTTTAATTACAGTTTTATATTTATTTTATATAATTATTAAATTTCTCCTATAAAGTAATTGTATTTTATTAAAAAATCAAATAACTATACAGTCAATGAAAACATAATCTTAGTTGAAAACTCACAAGTATATTTCCATTGCATCGTTCTGCCATCTTGCGATTGGCGTAGTAAATGAGAGCTAAATGGCAGTCATGGCTGGCATCGTGAGACCTTTAATTAGTGACAAGTGATTCGGAAAAGTGTTTTTGGTATTCAGTGTTAAAGGAATTGAATATAATTTGTTGGAATCCACAGCATAGGCCCTTAAGGGCCTCTACAATTCGGTGAGTACGAGAATCTTTCTAAATTAAAAATCTTATATCGAAATATTCAACGCTTTGCATGGTTATTGCACACCCTTGTTCCTATGCACGACTTTTTATATTTATCTTCTAAAGTGAATCTATTGTTTTTTCAAATGTCATTCGCATATTTATTTTTTTCTAATTCGATATTTTCGAATAAGATTAGCCATAATTTGTCAATTATAAATAGGCGTATTGAAACTATCCGGAACAAATAATCCTTTCAATTATGTCATTCAGATTTTCTTTCAATAATAAGATTAGAATTATTTATTCGTATACGTGTTATGTTACTTTCTATTGAAATTAAATAGAAATATTATTGATAGATTTTTCTTTGTAATTTTTATTAAATGTTTACTCTATTTTGGGGTTAAGTTGGGCCTCCCGCATTGACGAACGTTGCTTCGAGATATTGATAAAGTTCGATACTTTTATAGTTACTGTAGCTCCTAACAGATGTCTCCACGTGTACTATTTCGAATAAATGTTTCTATATATATATATATATATATATAT